TGGAAGTGGCAGACAGGCATGTGGTCATATAAAACCAGGCACCTGTATAGACTTTACCCAGAAAGGGGCTACCTGGCAACCCCATGGGATTTTCAAGGCAAGAGACTTCAGAGGTGGTTTGCCATTACCTGCCGTGTAACAACCCCGGTATTCCTTGGTGGTCTCCCTTCCAAACACTGACCAGGACCAACCCTGCTTAGCTCCTGAGATCTGATGAGATCAGGCTAGCTTGGGCTATCTGGATCAGGGTTGTTACCATTAGGCCACCTGTCAAAGGAACTCCTCAAAGCGGCAACCTGTTGCATCTCCTCACGCAGTGGCATGGGGCAATGCAACTGTGCAATGAGGCTGTATTCCCAGAATGACTCCCACAGGAACTCAGGAGGAGCAGAAAAGCTGCTCTAAGCAGAGTGGAATGGTACACTGGCTTCTCCAGCTACGCTTGCAGTGGTTCCATTTCTTTTTGGGAACAGGGCCCTATGCTGCCTGGCCCTCTCTGCAACCAGTGAAAGCAAACTAAAGGAGGAAGTTCCGTATTCATCCCTTAATTCCAATGCAAATTTACTTTCTTGTACTGAACCCCGCCAGCTTGGTGAAGAGTTCTAGAGGACTCAAACGCTTGCGTGCTGTTTCGTGATGTTTTTTTAATTGGTCCTAATAAAACGGCGTGACCACAACTTTTGTTTCTGGAACAGATCATTAACAGCATCCCACGGACCCAAATCCCTCGGGCTTCCTTCCCTGATCCCCAAGTTCCTCTAAGTCGGAGTTACTCATCTGTTTTCCATTCTGACCTTTTCGACAAGCAACACGTACCGCCTGTGTAGGAGATCACAACACAACACAACACAAACAGTTCATTCTACACACCAGAGTTTATATTATATCAGCTACCATGGTAAAGTGCACTTCCCGTCGCACCTCTCCCCTCCCACACTTTAAACCAGACAGTTTTTTGACAATCCTTCTTGTGCCAGGATAAATTTCTTCAAGTTTTTTAATGATTTATTCCTATCTTGCAGCTTGTTTGAAAACGACACAGCTGAAGAGCAAGATCCTATCAAGCAATTCTTACTTTTAAGTAAGTATACCCGACCCAAGCCTAGGCCAATTTAATCAGAGCTTAGAAGCTGCGGTGGCTCAAGTGGTTAAGACGCTGAACTGCAGGCTGTGGAAGGTCGGTAGTTCAGCAGTTCGAGACCCGAGTTGCCGCATGACGGAGTGAGCTCCCGTCTCTAGCTCCAGCTTCTGACAACCTAGCAGTTCGAAAGCAAGAAATTGCAAGTAGATAAATAGGTACCACTTCGGTGGGAAGGTAACAGCGTTCCGTGCGCCTTGGTGTTTAGTCATGGCGGCCACATGACCACGGAAACGTCTTCGGACAGCGCTGGCTCTTCGGCTTTGAAACGGAGATGAGCACCGCAACCCTAGAGTCGGACTCGACTGGCTTTCGAGCAAGGAAACCTTTACCTTTAGAAGCTAAGCAGAGTTGGCCATGGTTAGTACTTGGATTGGAGACCACTGAGGAAGACTGGGGTTGCTAGGTAGAGGCAGGCGATGGCAAACCAACTCTGCTTGTCTCTTGCCTTGAAAACCTCAGGTCCTGAGGTCACCATAAGTCGGCTGAGATGTGATGACTTCCCCCCCACTGAAGGAGAAGTGATGGCAACACAATTTATTATATATCCTATTTAACAGAGGATGGTGAATAAACAATAACGCCACTGTGTTTTTATAGCTCGTTTGGTTCCTAGCATCCCTCCTCTGTAGGACTGTGTGTGTATGTTGGGAATGTAACAGTGCATTTCCGCTCCTTCACAGGGACCAGGGGTGTTTCTTCTCCCTGCTGTCGAGATGGTACACCAGGGTCTGCCCTGCCCACAACTCTTTTTCCATTAATTTGTATGCTGCCTTTCAGCTTTATCTAGGGCCTCCAAAGCAGCTTGTGACATTTTTTTTAAAAGACTGTCCTTATCAAAATATAAAAGCTGCACAGAAAACAGACAGCATAGCATACGATCCATTTCTCCAGTATACTCAGTTTGCTAATAAATACATGTTAAACGAACAACCAGAAATAAAGGCGGGGTGGGGGGGAGAGAAAAACACAGAGAAAGGAAAAAGAAGAAAAATGGACCTATGAGAGGAAAATCAAATGAGGAGGCAGGATAGCCGCCTGTTCAACACGTCTCATAGTCATGTCGCTGCAAATCAAATAAACCTAATTACACATTAATTCAGATTCACCGTAGAATTTCTGTCTCAACATTTTCCTCAGGTTTTATCCTGTTTCGAAATTCAAGACGTGGCTGCCAAATCTTTACTGAAGATACCTCAGGGGCAGACTGTGGAAATTTTTAAAACAGTTTTAAATACGGAGACGGAGCCTCTTTTGCAGTTTCCTCTCTGTCCTCAACCCCCTAAGTGCTATGGGAGGCTTCCCCTCTACAGACGTAACATCTCTGCACCGCCAAGTTCTGGCTGTTCAGTCTCCCTCTCTGTGCCTCCAAAATGTCTCCCAGAATACAGAAGGCCACCAGTGTCTTACTTTCCTCAGGGTCACTCACCAGGCCTGCGGCTTCCTCTTCACGATGCCCTGGCGCCGCCATTGGGAGTGAGGGCTCAGGTGGTAGGTCAGCTGCCGGCAGAGCTTCTCCATGGTCCCAAGTGAGTCCCCCTCCTGCAAAGGGAAAAGGGAAGGAAAGACAAGTGAGTCCCCCTCCTGCAAAGGGAAAAAGGAAGGAAAGAAGAGTGTGTGGATCATTATAGAGGGGGAAAAGTCAAGAGCACGGCTGCGGCATCCAGGGGGATGACTTCATCATGATAACAAAGGCTGTGGTTGATTCCCATGAAGCACTAGGAGGATTATTTTTTAATTTTATTTGTACTCCACCTTTCTCCCCAACAGGGACACCAAAGCGGGCTACGACGTCATTCTGCCTTCCTTCAAGTTACCCTAACAACAGCCTTGTGAGGAAGCTTAACCTGAGAGAGTGAATGGCCCAAGGTACTCCAGCAGCTTCCATGAAAGTACAGGGATTTGAATCTGGGTCTCCTAACCTGACATGCTGGCTCTCCTTGACTGAATGGCATACAGAGGGTATGTCTGGTGGCCGGGGCTGGACAAAGAGATCGAAGAATGGGTACGAGGGTGTCCCAAATGCCAGCAAGTCAGACCCGATCCCCCACAAGCTACACCCCAAGGCTGGGAGTCATCTGGTAAACCCTGGGCCAGATTGCATATAGATTTTGCTGGCCCTCTCCAAGGGCAAATGTTCCTAATTGTGGTGGACGCTATGTCCAAATGGCTGGAGGTCGTGCATATGAAATCGACCACATCACTTGCTGTGATCCATGCGCTCCGCCGACTTTTTGCCACCCACGGGTTGCCTGACGTCATCGTCAGTGACAACGGGCCTCAATTTGTGTCTGAGGAATTTAGGCTCTTCCTCACGAGTAATGGCATACGCCAAATGACTTCGGCCCCTTTCCATCCGGCATCTAATGGCCAAGCCGAACGGATGGTCAGGACGGCCAAAGAGGCCCTGGGTAAAATGGACGAAGGGGACTGGAGCCAGAGGCTGGGCTCCTTTCTTTTGCTGCAGCACACCACCCCCTGTAGTGCTACAGGCCGTAGTCCGGCCGAATTGTTAATGGGGCGGAGACTCACGACCCGTTTGAACCGAATGCACCCAGACCTCACAGAAGATCAGTCCGAGCGTACCACTGCGCAACCGAAGGTGCGCATGTTTGAAAAAGGGGACAAGGTTTTCGCACGAAATTATGCAAACGGGCACTTGTGGCTTCCTGGGGTTATATCCGACTCTGTGGGTACTCGAATGTATGTGGTGCAGTTAGCTGACGGTCGAATATGGCGGCGCCACATAGATCAGTTAAGGAGACGTTGGGCTAGGGACAGCGCTGACTCTCCGACGGCTGAATCCCCTGATGTCGAGTGGACACCCCCAGAGCAGGCGGTGAGTACCGAAAGGCCCGGTACTGTCCCCGAGTCAGGGCAGAACCCTGTGTGCGGGGCTGAAATCCCAGTCGAGTCTGTGCCTGATCCAGGCTGTAGTGAACCCCACTCTGACCCACAACCTTGTCTGCCCGTGGAGCCTGCACCGCTCCGCAGGTCCCAGCGTTCGCGGCAAATGCCGACTTATCTGAAGGACTATGAGTGTAAATACTGTTGGAATAACTGATGTACAAAGGTTGATTGCATGTTTGTAAATAATAAAACAATTGGGATGATGGCTTAACTTAGGGGGGAGGAATTGTAATGTATTGAAATGATTACATGAATCACCTCATAGGACTCCCGTGTTAAGCTTCGAGCCAGACCAGGGCTCCTCTGAGCGAACTTCCTATTGGTCGCTTCGTAACAGCGACCAATCAGAACGGTACCATTCCCTAGGAGGGAAAGACTCCCATTGGTCTTTATTCTAGCAATCTCATTGGTTGTTATTTGTAAATAGGCGTGGCTACATTAGCCCGGTTATGTTTAAAAGGAGCATAAGCTCCCACTGTTTTCTGTTCTGGTTTCTTACTGAGTTAGTGCTTGCTCGTTACTTCCAATAAAGCTGAATCACTTGCTGAATCACTGTACGAGTCCTTTGTTAGCGCGATCTAACAAAGAGTGTGTGGATCATTCTAGAGGGGGAAAAGTCAAGAGCACAACTGCGGCATCCAGTGGGATGACTTCATCATGATAACAAAGGCTGTGGTTGATTCCCATGAAGCACTAGGAGGATTATTTTTTAATTTTATTTGTACTCCACCTTTCTCCCCAACAGGGACACCAAAGCGGGCTACGACGTCATTCTGCCTTTTTTCAAGTTACCCTAACAACAGCCTTGTGAGGAAGCTTAACCTGAGAGAGTGACTGGCCAAAGGTACTCCAGCAGTTTCCATGACAGTGCAGGGATTTGAATCTGGGTCTCCTAGCCTGACATGCTGGCTCTCCTGGACTGAATGACCTAAGCAGCACCTGACACTACATGTGTCACGGGCAGCGGCTAGAAAGGTTCTCTAATGGCTGCCACTAATGTTCCCTCTAAGCTTTGTTAGTGTGAGCTAGCTCACAGTTTTTTAGCCTCCATTTCACACATTTTTGTTTTAGCTCAGGAAAGATGATTCCAGAGCAAACTAATTTATATTGATGCAGTAGCCAAATCGCTCAGTCACAGCTTTAATGCCAGTTCCTCACAAAGTAGAATTTTTGCTCACAGGACTCCATAGCTTAGCGGGAGCATTAGCTGCCACCACTCTGGTATGGGTCTCCTCGGGAGGGCCCAGAACACCCATCCTATCCCTTTATACACTCCTTTCCCAGCAGGTTCCTCCTTATAAGTGATCAAATGAGGCGTGAGGACCCAGGCAGAGTAACAAACTGTTTAACAACAACTGTGATTCAATAACGTGTAGGAAAAATGAGCACAGTAAAGGCAGGTATACCAGCAAAATAAGAAACACGTTAGGTGTCTGACTATACTGGACCTAGCCTTCTCTAGGTATTTGACCTCAGGCTGACGCACCCCTTTTTGGATGAGGAAGCCCCGCCAAGGCCCTCCCTGGCCCCAGGCAGGCAGGGGTGGGGAGAGGTGGGGAGGAAGCAACTTACCCTCCCTCTTCTCCTGCCTCCTCCTGGCTGAATGAGGGCCGGAAGCGGGGCGGCTGGAAACAGGGGGTGGGGCTTCGTCATGTGCCCCCCCCTGCACATCACCCGAGGGAACTGCGTTCCCCCGCGATCCCCCCCGAAATGACCTCTGGCCCTGATAGCTACTCTAGTACAGGCTTCCCTGGAGTCACTAGGCCTCCCTAGAGCAGGGGTGTTGAACTCATTTCTTATGAGGGCCGGATCTGACATAAATGAGACCTTGCTGGACCCGGCCATGTGTGTCATAAAATGTAATGCCAGGTAGTAGAGACATAAACTTTATAATGGACACAAACACAAAGGTTTTTAAAATAAAAACATGTTTAAAACATTAGCTCTGTAAGCTGCAAACCTACTTTTGATTTATTGACATTCACCACAGAAATCTCATGCGCAAAGTTCTGAGTCTAGGACCCTGGTTAAAACATGAAATGGCTGAGTGATTAAGAGAGTCTGGCAAAGCAAGCTATGTTGCAGCAGCAGCAGCAGAACTGGAAGCAGGAGATGGCCAGTTCCACTGAGGGCTCGATGGAAGCCCTCCGGCCGGGCCGCATGTTTGACACCCCTGCCCTAGGGCCTGTAAGCCTGGAAGAGTGCCCACCGAAGAGGAGATGCTGCCATACACAGACACACACCCCAAATCCAGCACAAAAGCTCCTGCAGGCTGTTCAGAAATGCAACATATCATCCATTTCCCCCCCTTTTTTTTGTTTCCAACCGACACAAAAGTTTTGGAGGAGACCAGCAAGTCTTCATCTGCCAGACTCCCCAAGCTTACTGCACCCGTCAGCAGAGGCAGACTTTACATCTGGCCACACTGGCAACACATTGGCGAGGGGCAACCCTCCACCCAAGCATTCATTGTTTCAGGCAGTCTGTTCAGAAACAGGTACTGCAAACATTTGTAGTCTCACTGCCAATATGACATCTCAGTAACATGATAGCTGAGAACACACAAAAAATCAGAATCACAGCAAAGCATGAGTCATCCACAGAGCCCGCTGACATTCAAGAGCGCAGACGCCTTCCGCTGTGACTGAACTCCAAGTACCCAATCTGTGTGAACAGGAGAGGAGAACAGAGCCCAAATCCAGACTGCTCTTTGCAGGGGAGACAGATAATCTCACTATATGTTTTTTAGACCAATAGATAGCCAGACTATATCTAGCCAGAGAGAGACAGGGAGAGAGAGAGAGAGAGCGCCTGCCTATATACTTCTCCCGAGTGAGGAAGTGGGTTCTAGTCCACAAAAGCCGATGTCACAATAAATCTAGATGGGTAGCCGTGTTAGTCTGTCTGTAGCAATAGAAAAGAGCAAGAGTCCAGTAGCACCTTAAAGACGAACAAAATCTGCGGCAGGGTATGAGGTTTCGTGAGTCACTGCTCACGACTCACAAAAGCACATCCCCTGCCACAAATTTTGTTCGTCTTTAAAGTGCTGCGGGACTCTTTCTACTGCCACAGTAAATCTGTTTATCTCCAAGGCGTCCCAAGACTTGTGTGTTGAAAGCCACAGCAAATGGAAATAAGAGGCATTCTCAAGTAAATTTATTCAGGACGGAGAGGCAAGTGTAAGGAATACTACTTAAAAGCCGTTGGATTTGAGTCCAGGAGCACCTTCAATACCTACAAGATTTTGGGGTTTAAGCTTTTGAAAGTCGAAGCTCCCTTCGTCAGACGTGAGTAGGAACGCAGGCAGTGAGCTGCAGCTATGGAGTCCAGGATGCATTCCGGCAGGCTGTTCCTGGCACGGAGTTTGCTTCCGTGATGAGATTTTGACTCCAAACTGTGCCTGGAGATTGCCCCACACCCGCAAATGCCTGCAATGCTTACTGGGCTGTCTCACTCAGACCCGGATGCCATCGCTCCCCTCCCCAGCACGGGGCAGTGGCCTCGTTCTAATCAGATCCACTGCTGCTTAACGTCTGTTTCCCACTGGGCACAGCCTGGGAATAAACGACCCTTTGCTTCAGCTACCAGCGTCAAAGTTGACTGCCTTCCAAAAAACGGGAAAGCTTCGCTCA